AACATTCTTAAATAACTAAATGTGCTACATTCTTAAATTACAAAATGTGCAACATTCTTAAATAACAAAATGTGCAACATTCTTAAATAAAAAAAACGTGTAACATTCTTAAATTACAAAATGTGCAACATTCTTAAATAACAAAACGTGCAACATTCTTAAATAACAAAACGTGCAACATTCTTAAATAACAAAATGTGCAACATTCTTAAATAACAAAATGTGCAACATTCTTAAATAACAAAATGTGCAATATTCTTAAATAACAAAATGTGCAACATTCTTAAATAACAAAATGTGCAACATTCTTAAATAACAAACTGTGCAACATTCTTAAATAACAAAATGTGCAACATTCTTAAATAACAAAATGTCCAAAAACACACACTCAAAATTGTGCGACACGGGGTGTAAAAGTATGGAGACAAACATGCCAATCAAAACATGACGGCAAACATGCCGATCAAAACATGGCGACAAACATGCCAATAAAAACATGACGGCAAACATGCCGATCAAAACAATGCGGCAAACATGCCGATCAAAACTTGGCGGCAAGCATACTGATCAAAACATTGTAATTTTAAGAAAAAATAATAGGCTAACTGGCATGCCATCAAAAGTGTCGCAGGGGACAATTCAACGACCTGCAAATGAAATCAGTTAAGGTAATGTTTCCAGCGACGGTCGGAACAACGTCTGTTGACCTGACAATCATTTTAAAATATTACCTTATTTACCGGCGTATAGGACGACTTTTTAACCCATGAAAATCTTTCAAAAGTCGGGGGTCGTCTTATACGCCGGGGGTCGTCTTATACGCCGGTCGTCGTCTTATACTCAGGGGGTCGTCTTATACGCCGGGGTCATCTTATCCGCAGGGGGTCGTCTTATACGCCGGGGGTCATCTTATCCGCAGGGGGTCGTCTTATCCGCCGGGGGTTGTCTTATACGCCAGGGGTCGTCTTATAGGTCAGGGGTCGTCTTATACGCCAGGGATCGTCTTATAAGCTGGTATACGGCATGCTGAAGATTCAGGGGCAGGCGCCCTCTAGTCCCAGTTTGGTCGACAGCTTAGAAAACAAACAGCATGGCAGCTCCCATGGGTTCATTGTCTTATCCTTCATTTCTGATTTAAATTAAAAAATATTTTGGTGTGCGTTGGAAGAGGGGTCGTCTTATACGGCGAGTACAGCCCTAACCCTATATTTTAACAGGAAAAGTAGGGGATCGTCTTATATGCCGGAAAATACGGTCAATATAAAATGCAATAATCGAATTTTATCAGACATGCCTACTTTTTCACACCATAACAAAATATTTAATTTGTAAGATTGTCCCAATTACTTTGTTGAAAAAACCTACGATAACACACACACAAATCTCACTATGCACAACTGAGTAATCTAGTTATTTTAAAAACAACCAAAAAAAAAAAAAAAAAAAAAAAAAAAAAAAAAAAAAAAAAAAAAAAAAAAAAAAAAACAAAAAAAAAACAAAAAAAAAAAAAAAAAAAAAAAAAAAAAAAAAAAGAAAAAAAAAAAAAAAAAAAAAAAAAAAAAAAAAAAAAAAAAAAAACACATAAAAAAACCATATAATGAAATGCACTAAATTACCTTAGAAATCTCAAAATCGTTGCTCAAAAAAAAAATAACTTGGGCAATTATTAAACTAGTTCAGTCAAGACGTTTCTTAATAAAACATGTCATCGGGTTTGATCGACAAAAGAACTCGGTACGCATCGTTCTGTCAACATTGAGAAACACATATTTCAAAATTTAATAACAAGCCTCTGGGGAAAAAAATACATATAAAGGCAGTGCCTCTCAAAGTGGTAGTACTAGCACCTGAAACCAATCTTGGAGCCAGTGCCTCTCAAAGTGGTAGTACTAGGACCTGAAACCAATCTTGGAGCCAGTGCCTCTCAAAGTGGTATTACTAGGACCTGAAACCAATCTTGGAGCCAGTGCCTCTCAAAGTGGTATTACTAGGACCTGAAACCAATCTTGGAGCCAGTGCCTCTCAAAGTGGTAGTACTAGGACCTGAAACCAATCTTGGAGCCAGTGCCTCTCAAAGTGGTAGTACTAGGACCTGAAACCAATCTTGGAGCCAGTGCCTCTCAAAGTGGTAGTACTAGGACCTGAAACCAATCTTGGAGCCAGTGCCTCTCAAAGTGGTAGTACTAGGACCTGAAACCAATCTTGGAGCCAGTGCCTCTCAAAGTGGTAGTACTAGGACCTGAAACCAATCTTGGAGCCAGTGCCTCTCAAAGTGGTAGTACTAGGACCTGAAACCAATCTTGGAGCCAGTGCCTCTCAAAGTGGTAGTACTGGGACCTGAAACCAATCTTGGAGCCAGTGCCTCTCAAAGTGGTAGTACTAGGACCTGAAACCAATCTTGGAGCCAGTGCCTCTCAAAGTGGTAGTACTAGGACCTGAAACCGATCTTGGTGCCCTTAGTCGCCAGTCCGAAAACGACGCATAATATGAAGTTTTCCCCTTAAGTCTGAGACAAAAACAGAAGATTCGCAAGTCTTAGTTGGTCTTTGCCTGCCTATAGTGCGGGCGAATGTCTTTGCTAGCAGACGCCGTGTGTACTGTTTACTGACTTTAAAACCGTCACTGTAATTACCGAGAGATTAACAACTTCAATTTTGAGTTTGCACATTATTTAATTCGTAAAAAGTTTGGATTTTAGAATTTATATACATATTACATTCTTTTCATTCTTATAACATTGTTAACAAATTTTTTCGATACAACGTCAAAGTTTAACAACTGGTTCGTCCACACCGCTGGGTATAGTGGGTTAAGGTCTAAATGAAGTCTGGTATTTGTGGTCCAAATTAATGTATAAGAATTTAATGATATAAATATTCAATGAATCGTGTTTCAGTTGCAGCCGACATTCGGCTGAACTCCTTCCGGTCCGTAAGACCCATAGATTGAGAAACACTGAACACCAGGTCATAATGCTGCATCATGCGACTAGATAATAGAACGAATACAATCAATGCGAGATGAGGTCTGGAAAATTATTTGTTAATTAAAATATTTTTTTAAAAAACAAGCTCAACGAAAAACCGTAACAACGCATTGATTTGATGGCTACTTATGGGATTTGTAACGGTGTTACGTTAATTTGAATTTAATTATTATTATTTTTTTGCCAATAGATCCATGGGATTAGAATTATCGCAGTTACAAATTTAAAAAAAAAATTTCACGGTTTGCAATGTTTACAACATAATGAAAATACGCCAAGATGTGTCAACACTTAGTCCAAGAGATCTGTAGATTTAACAAAAAAAAAATCAAATTCCAACTAAAATGTATAATTAATTGTTAACGGGTAAGACAAAGAAATTAATGACGCCTTAAGTGCAGAAACAAAATCAATTGATTTCTACCCTATTAAAATTGAAACTAGCACCTATGGGGTAAGACCGTGTATACAAAATATAGTTATTTTCGGAGAGAAAAGAGCAAATGGGTTGGAGGATATAATACAGACTTCATGTCATTTGTGTTTGCCATCATGGTTTGAAAACGTGGACTGGATGACAGTACCGTGAATTAAAAGGAGAGAAATTAATTAGATTTAGAAGAATAAATTTAAAAATATATAAGCATATATATATGTGGGTCTGTTTTATATAGTCCTAATCAACTTACTGGAATCGAGTTTATAAACAACAAACAAGACTTTTGAACAAACCTAAAAGGGAAAGAGTAGGCGTCAACCATGGGCAAGCTACTCCGAAATTTGGACATACCCCATAACCTACTTACATGATGTACTTACAGAATTTACATTCTAAACCATTGCAATAGTACAACACAATTATTAGAAGCGTAACTAGAATTTACAGAAACAAACATGGAATTTTATCGAAAAATCCAAACATAAATACGAGCATTGTTCCAGTTGTCACTGCAACATGTCATATGAATTTGTTGACATAAGATTTTATTGACTTCAAACTAATGAAAACTGGCCTATCATTTGCTGGCGTCAGTACCAGTCACAGGACTCACCAACCAACCTCGCGACCATGACGCCGAAGCTCATGAACGGAAGTAGCTTCTCGCCACAAGATGGCCTGGGTCAAGGTCAAGGTACTGAGATCCAACAGGTCATTGAAACGGCGTTCGTCGTCCTGCTGTACGGCGGATTTAGTCTGGTCGGCATCGTCACCAATGTTTTCAACATTCTCGTCTTCAGGCGACAAGGTGAGACAATAATCGTGTGTAAACATTGATGTCGTTATCATTTATAGTCCGCTCCTACCAATTTTTTTCCCCCGGCAAACCTTCCAGTGAGGTATTTAGAAAATACATTTTCTTTGAGGGGAAGTTGGTTAATGTCGAAGACGACACAATAAAAAATATCGTAGGTGACTCTAGATTTAGCAAAATGCTACTGTCAGTCTGTTTTGTGTTTTGCCCTTTTTTTTTAAAAAAAAAGCTGACATGTATTCGCATTGCTACCTACCCCTCCACCCTACTGGCGTCGCTAGGGTTAGTACAGCCGAGGGGGGCAATGTTTGCTTCTCCCACTGCTTTCGAGAAAGCTCTGCTGTTGGCCGAAAAGGTTATACAACCCAGAGCGGGTCACACCCCCCCCCCTCAGCCTTACTCTTCCTATGCAAGTGCTGAACTCTCAACCCCGACACTTTACCGGATATTTTCAACACCAGAATAGACCACTGTCCCCATTACAACTTCACTTCATTTACAGGTTTGTACAGCCGAGGGGGGCAATGTTTGCTTCTCCCACTGCTTTCGAGAAAGCTCTGCTGTTGGCCGAAAAGGTTATACAACCCAGAGCGGGTCACACCCCCCCCCCCCCTCAGCCTTACTCTTCCTATGCAAGTGCTGAACTCTCAACCCCGACACTTTACCGGATATTTTCAACACCAGAATAGACCACTGTCCCCATTACAACTTCACTTCATTTACTAAGAAATTATTTTGTTATATTTTTGTTAACTCGGGCAGGCCTCAGTGACAGTGTCAACATCCCACTCCTCGGTCTGGCCAGCAGCGATCTTTGCAGTGACGTCACGATGCTGTGGACGACAGTCTGCACCATCCTGGTATCGGCCGATGTGCCGCCGCTTTTGTTTGACCCGCTTGGCCTGTACGTCCTGACCGGAGTTGTGCCCAGGATCATCTTCAACCGCGCCAGCTGCTGGTTGACCGCCCTCATCTCACTGCAGCGCTGCCTGTGTGTGACCTTGCCCTTTAGGGTCAAGGACGTGTTCACACCGAGGCGAACGCTCTCGCTCACGCTGGGGACGATCGCCCTTACATTTTCTATCCACATGACCATCTACATAAGTCGATATTTTTCGCTCTCTTTTGAACCGAAGCTCAACCTCACCCATTACGTCATAACTGTAGCGGAGGAAGCCTTAGAACTGTCGGCATTTAGACTGATTTTCCTCTTCATGTTCCTGCCGCTGGTCAACTTTTTCACCATTATCGTCTGCTCGGCACTGCTGGTTTACAGTTTAACACTTTCGACGGTCTGGAGAAAATCCAACGCCACTTCGAGGAAGACCCAAACGCATTCCAGCACCGCGGCAAATGACGGAGAGTCAAGAACCGCCGACATGATGACGGACGCCCGATCCCAAACACAGAACAAGAACGTCACCAAGGAAACCAGACTGACGCGAATGATAACGGCGATGACGGTCGTGGCTGTCGTATGCAACACACCCAGCAACGTCTTGCTTGTGGCATCCAGCCTGGCACCGGGATTCACCGAGGTCGGTGAGTACAGCGCCTTGTTCCGAACCATTTACTCTTTCGCAGTTCTGCTGGAAACTGTCAACGCCACGGCAACGTTCTTTGTGTACTTTTCAATGAGTTCCAGATTCAAGGTGGAGTTTTGGGGTTTGGTATCAAGATCTTGAAACATGCCTTAAAATCAATTTACAAGTTTGTTCAATATGTTGAAAGTACTTTATTTGTTATGGACAGAGCATTCGCGTGGGACTTAAAACACTTTTACCTGCAGGGGGATTTTGATATGTAAGGGGCCCAAAGTTGTGATATGTAAGGGGCTCAAAGTTGTGATATGTAAGGGGCCCAAGTTGGAATATGTAAGGGGCCCAAAGTTGTGACATATAAGGGGCCCAAAGTTATGATATGTAAGGGGCCCAAAGTTGTGATATGTAAAGGGCCCAAAGTTGTGATATGTAAGGGGCCCAAAGTTGTGACATGTAAGGGGCCCAAAGTTGTGACATGGAGATAAAATAAAACCATCAACTTTGAAAGCGTGTGGCACGAACCAAAAAGTTGCGGTGCCCTCCAAAAAATGACACGATGGCTCGGGGGATGGCTTCGGTTGGCCAGCCATGACTTTAACATTTGGGGACATTTTAATTTATGTCCCCATCAATTAAAAAAAAATGACAAAACGTAATAATTCACGGACATTTGCAATGTCCCTGACCCAAACATGGCCGACATCAGCAATGTTTTGCAACTTAAATGTATGACTTCTGCACCGGCTATATTTTAAAAAAATACTCGTGTTTATATTTGCAAATATACTAGAGCACCTTTTATTTTTTTTTTCTTCCGTTGTTTCATTGCTTTATATAAACTATGACACCGTAACTCACGTCTGTATATAAACTATGACACCGTAACTCACGTCTGTATATAAACTATGACACCGTAACTCACGTCTGTATATAAACTATGACACCGTAACTCACGTCTGTATATAAACTATGACACCGTAACTCACGTCTGTATATAAACAATGACACCGTAACTCACGTCTGTATATAAACTATGACACCGTAACTCACCTCTGTAAATAAACTATGACACCGTAACTCACGTCTGTATATAAACAATGACACCGTAACTCACCTCTGTAAATAAACTATGACACCGTAACTCACGCCTGTATATAAACTATGACACCGTAACTCACCTCTGTAAATAAACTATGACACCGTAACTCACGTCTGTATATAAACAATGACACCGTAACTCACCTCTGTATATAAACTATGACACCGTAACTCACGTCTGTATATAAACTATGACACCGTAACTCACCTCTGTATATAAACTATGACACCGTAACTCACGTCTGTATATAAATTATGACACCGTAACTCACTTTTGTATATAAACTAAGACACCGTAATTCACTTTTGTATATAAACTATGACACCGTAACTCACTTTTGTATATAAACAAAGACATCGTAATTCACTTTTGTATATAAACTATGGCACCCTTACTCACCTCTGTATATAAACTATGACACCCTAACTCACCTCTGTATATAAACTATGACAACGTAACTCACGTCTGTATATAAACTATGACACAGTAACTCACCTCTGTATATAAACTATGACACCGTAACTCACGTCTGTATATAAACTATGACACCGTAACTCACGTCTGTATATAAACTAAGACACCGTAATTCACTTTTGTATATAAACTATGACACTGTAACTCACTTTTGTATATAAACTAAGACACCGTAATTCACTTTTGTATATAAACTATGACACCGTAACTCACTTTTGTATATAAACTAAGACACCGTAATTCACTTTTGTATATAAACTATGACACCGTAACTCACCTTTATATATAAACTATGACACCGTAACTCACTTTTATATATAAACTATGACACCGTAACTCACTTTTGTATATAAACTATGACACCGTAACTCACTTTGGTATATAAACTATGACACCGTAACTCACGTCTGTATATAAACTATGACACCCTAACTCACTTTTATATATAAACTATGACACCGTAATTCCCTTTTGTATATGAACTATGACACCATAACTCACTTTTGTATATAAACTATGACACCGTAACTCACTTTGTATATAAAATGTGACACCGTAATTCACTTTTGTATATAAACTATGACACCGTAACTCACTTTTGTATATAAACTATGACACCGTAATTCACTTTTGTATATAAACTATGACACCATAACTCACCTCTGTAAATAAACTATTACACCGTAACTCACTTTTGTATATAAACTAAGACACCGTAACTCACTTTTATATATAAACTATGACACTGTAACTCACTTTTGTATATAAACTATGACACCGTAACTCACTTTTGTATATAAACTATGACACCGTAACTCACTTTGTATATAAACTAAGACACCGTAATTCACTTTTGTATATAAACTATGACACTGTAACTCTTTTTTGTATATAAACTAAGACACCGTAACTCACTTTTATATATAAACTATGACACCGTAATTCACTTTTGTATATAAACTATGACACCGTAACTCACTTTGTATATAAACTATGACAACGTAATTCACTTCTGTATATAAACTATGACACCGTAACTCACGTCTGTATATAAACTATGACACCGTAATTCACTTTTGTATATAAACTATGACACCGTAATTCACTTTTGTATATAAACTATGACACCGTAACTCACCTCTGTATATAAACTATGACACCGTAACTCACTTCTGTATATAAACTATGACACCGTAACTCACTTCTGTATATAAACTATGACACCGTTGCTAAATATTTACTGTGCGCAGTGTATCGTTATTGTGAATAAACTATGTCACCATTTTACCTGCTTTATATCAACGATATTACCTTATTTCATTGCTATTGCAATATATAAGCTACGCCACCGTCTTCTATTGTTGGATATAAACCAGGGGTCTAAAGCTGGCGACCCGCGGGCCGTTTGCGGCGCGCAAGACGAAATCATGCGGCCCGATACCTGACAGAAAAGTTTAGTGTTAATGCGGCCCGGGCGTTTTCCCCATCGTCATATCTATAATGTGACCCTTCGGGGCGGATTCAGTCAAATCTCACCGCCTAATCTCATTCTGATTTTTTTATTATGATTGTAGAGGTTCGGACGTTGATCATAATGGTAAAAACAGATCTTAAATCCAACTAAAAGTTTTTATTTTATAGCATTACATGAGACAAACATGTCCAAAGGGCGGTTTTGAGAAAAAATTGAAAAGTCAGTTAGTGGGTACTGCACAACCATAATTGCGTAAATCGTAGCAACCTGACAAAGTATCAAAGAATCCCTACTAAAATTGCCCCTACTGTTTACCATTGAGGAAAATTCCGAGCCTGTCAGCTTGGTCACTTTCAAAATAGGGATAGTCAAAAAGACCCTTTCTACGATACAAAAAATCAAAATCAATTCTCCCTACAATTGCCTCTTCCTTGGCACCAGTACTTCATGAATATGACCTGCTCCTGCCTACCGTTTAAACACGTTTTGGCATTTAAAGCAGGGCTGTCAAAGTCAATCGCTCGGCGGGCCAAAACTCATATCACACGTAAGGTTGCGGGGGGACGAAAAGGATAAACATTCTATAAGCGGAAAAATATTATTTAAAAAAAAAATTATATAAAAGAAAACAACAAATATATAATTAAAAATCATTGGCATTCCTATTTTTTTTTTAATGCCAATTAGTCAGAGCTGGATGTTTGGCACATTTTCTCGGCTACAAAACCAAGTAAGTTCGTTTATGTTGGGGGTAACGCTCTGTGTCATTGAGATTCTCATGATGGACTGCAAGTGTTCACCAGTGAGAGGACTCCTGTGGGATGTTTTGTTAATCTTCATCACAGAAAACAGCTGCTTACACATACATGTGCTACCCAACATGCTCAAGGCTCGAGCCACATGTAGACGAAGCTGGGGCATCTCTTCAGGAATGAAACGAGTGAACTGTGCAGACCCAACTGTGTCGTACTTTTCCTTTAGTGTCCCATTACACTGCAGCTCTATTAGCTCCATCTGCAAATTTACACGTGCAGTTTCCACGTCTATGACAAATGGGTTACGAAACAGCTTGAAGTTACATTTCTGTGCTTCAAAGTCACTAAAGCGCCGTGCAAACTCGACGCGAAGTAAGCTAGGTTTTTCAGCAAAGTGTGCATTGGGAAACTTCACAGCGTTGACTTGGATATAAGTGTACGCCGGTCAAGACCTCGCGGGCCTGATATAATTGTACGGCCGCACGTGGCCCGCAAGCCTTGAGTTTGACACATGTGATTTAAAGCCTTCAAGAAGAAGGATGGGGTGGTTGTTCCTGTACTAAGTGATCTTAAATGGCTCATGGACTGGCTTTTCTTGTTGAATTTACACAGGAGCTGAATGCACTTAACAAGAAGTTACAAGACCAGGGGTAGCTTGCCAGTGTTCCCTGTGGCAATGTCAGTGCGAAACCTGGGTGTCTACTTAAACAGAACACTAACTATGGAAAATCACATTAACATGCTTTGCAAAGCGATTTTTCTAGAGCTGCGCAGGATTAGTCATATCAGACCTTTCTTAACGTTTGATGCATCAAAGTGGCTGATGTCTGCATTCGTACTATCACGCATGGACTACTGCAATGCTCTCATGGTGGGTCTTCCGGCTACGCTCCTGGATACAATTCAAAAAGCCCAGAATTATGCGGCTCGCATTGTTCTTCGAAAACGCAAATTTGACCATGCTAACACACTTCTGAGAGAGTTGCATTGGCTGCCGGTCCGCGCTCGCATAGAGTACAAAATTGCAACTCTGTGCTACCGCTGCTTGCATGACCTGGCACCGTCCTATCTCAAAGCGCTACTTACGCCTTATGTACCCACTAGACAACTCCGCTGATCTGATAGTGGCAGACTCTCGATACCACATGTTCGCCTTGAGACTTACGAGGGGCGCAACTTTCGCATTTGCTGGCCCAACAATTTGGAACACTCTTTCTATCGCTCTCAGAAACAGCCAGACACTGGAGTCTTTCAAAACTGATTTGAAGACTTATCTATTTCGCAAACACCTGCTGGGGTGATGTTGTCTATCTAGCTATTATCTTTTAGATGTATATTGGCT